AGAAAGGGGAAACTGTAATCATAATACGTTGTGTAAAAGCTCTATTTTCAATAAAAGGAAAAAATATTATTAACCTTCCTTAAGATTTGAGTAGATCCAGAATGGGGATCGTGGGCCCATCCCCGAACAGTGTTGTATGGACTCTGGTATCTCAAGGTGGTATCTCAGTGTGCCCACATGCCTTCCCACCATGGAAAATAAGGATCAGTTTCTCAAAAACAATGTGCTAGGTGTCTCCACTTTATTTTCTCTTAGGTTAGGAGGCTTTCTCAACCAGACTCCTCCACTCAAATGGCCAGCCCATCTTTTCCAGCCTGGGAGCCAAATACTAATTTAAAAAGGCAATCAGGAGGCTGACCTGTCTGTGGACTACATCTGAGCAGGGGGTCCAGGTCCTCTCTATGTATGGTCTTTGGTTGATACATCAGTCTCTGCAGTCTCCCCTGGGCCCTGCTTTTTTTTGGCTTTGTTGGTCTCTTTGTGGAGAGGAATAGGGGAGGATGAGGGAGGAAGGGTGGGACTAGGAGGAGATGAGGGAGGAGGCTACAGCTAGAATAAAAAGTGAATAAATTATATAATAATGATAATAATAATAAATTCACATAAGCACACACACACAAAGCAGTCAGGAGAACAAATTGAAACCAATCTGGGAGGGGCTCTTTCTGGTACTGTCAACTACTGTAACCATAGTTCAAAAGGCAGAAAGAGATGGGATACACTATACCTAAATAAAAACAACAAGGCCCAGAGAAAATAGACGATCAACAACTGAGTCATCTTACTTGCTAATTACCCCATTTCACCCCTTGCCTTCATCTCTTGCTGCGACCTTTTGCTATGGGATTGGAAGAGTGGGCCCTCTTTGGCTCGACTTGTGCTAAAAAGGTTTCTATTGACGTGCTTTCAATTAACTTGAGTATGGTGTGTAAATTTTAATGTTGTACTAATTGGTCCTCTTTTGGGATTTCACAGGCTTACTCTTATGGTCCATGAACTCACATGACCCAATCAGGCCAGAATTCTGCCATACTTATTTCTCTTGCCACAGAGGAGTTTCTAAAGCGTGTGTGTATATACATGTATATATGTATATATATATACATATATATATGTGTGTGTGTATGTATAGTTAGAATAACATGAAAATTTAATATACACAAAATGTTAGAGAACAGTAACTGAACACAGAGGAGGGGAAATCTGCTAATTATATATATATGCATGTATATATGTATGTATGTGTACATACATACACACTCTTGTTTTGACACACAGTACTATTCCATCAACTAAAAATGACTACATTTACAGAGGACTCATAAACAGGGGAATTCCCATATCCTCAGCCCAAATTATTAACTCGGGACAACCAACGTGATCATTTGATGCATGTGGAGCCATGAATTAAATCTGACTTCTTGCAAATAAATACTGAAGGTTCACAAAGAGATTGGAGGCACCACTAAAGAGTTTCCTGAGTCCTCATATAGACTTAGAGTGAATGGAGCCAATATACTTTATTGGGAGGATAGTTTTCAACTTGGGGGAGATTCGAGATCTTCAAAGGTACCAAGATTTTAATATTGGGGCCTGTATGATTGTGTCCTATACAGCCTCCTTGGTCATGAGGTCTTGTTCGGGAGAAAAGCAGATACACATGTATCTGTACATATCATGCTATGTAAATATAAGCCCCTAAATCAGGATGATGCTTATTATCTTGACAGGATCCAAGCATCAAAGGTGAGAATGTGCTGGGAATCCCCACCAGCAAAGGAAAAGAGAATCAATGAAACAGCAAATGGATTGAGCAATGTCCATAAACGTGTATAAATTCAGCCATATTGTTGCTGTTACCACTGCCTTGCTCAGTGAGCCTTCCCAGAGACAATCAGAGAAGAATAAAGACGAAGCAGCCACCGCGCGGCCTAGGCCCTGCTGAAATGTCTAAATGAGACTAAGTGTGCGACATCTTTAGAATCCCACCAGGAGGTTCTTAAAATAACAAACAAAATTACAAAGTACCGTATATAGAATACAAAAAAGGCATTTTTTTAAATAATCGTGCTCCCTTCTTTTGAAAATTGAGAGTGCTACCACAATTAAAAGCTGTTTTCCAAAAAACCCAGAATTTCCAAAATAATCCTGTACAACAACAGATTGTCTGGAGGTATCTCCATCCCTGATCTCAAGCTGTACTACAAAACAATAGTAATAAAAACTGCATGGTATTGGCATAGAAACAGAATGGTGGATCAATGGAACTGAATAGAAGACCCAGAAATTAACCCACACACTTATGACACCTGATTTTTTATAAAGATGCTGAAACCATACAATGAAAAAAACATAGCATCTTCAACAAATGGTGCTGGTCTAACTGGATGTCTACATGTAGAAAAAGGCAAATAGATCCATACTTATCACACTACACAAAACTAAAGTCCAAGTAGATCAAAGATAGCAATATAGAACCACACACCAAATCCATTAAAGAAAAAGTGGAGAAGAACCTAGAACTCATTGGCACAGGAGGCAACTTCCTGAACAGAACACCAACAGCACAGGCTCTACGAGCAACAATTAATCAATGGGACCTCATGAAACTGAAAGGCAAAGGACACTGTTGTCAGAACAAAACAACAGCCTACAGACTGAGAAAGGATCTTCACTAACCCTATATCTGACAGAGGGCAAATATCTAGAATATATAAAAACTAAAGAAGTTAAAAAGCAACAAATCAAATACTCCAATTAAAAAATGGGGTACAATAATCTGATTGGTCTGCTCTTTGATCACCTCCCCCTGAGGAGGGAGCAGCCTTACCAGGCCACAGAAGATGACAATGCAGCCACTCCTGATGAGATCTGATAGACTAAGATCAGAAGGAAGGAGAGGAGGACCTCCCCTATCAGTGGACTTGGAGAGGGGCATGAGTGAAGAAGGGGAGGGGGAAGGTGGGATTAGGAGGGGAGGAGGGAGGGGTTTATGGGGAGATACAAAGTAAATAAAGTGTAATTAATAAAAGTTAAAAAAAATGGGGTACGGAGCTAAACAGAGAATTCTCTGTAGAGGAATATCGAATGGCAGAGAAATAACTAAAGAAATGCTCAACGTCATTAGCCATCAGGGAAATGCAAATCAAAACTACCCTGAGATTTCACCTTACACCCATCAAAATGGCTAAGATCAAAAACTCAAGTGACAACACATGCTGGAAAGGTTGTGTAGAAAGGGGAACCCTCCTACATTGCTGATGAGAATGTAAACTTGTACAACCACTTTGGAAATCAATCTGGTGCTTTCTCAGACAATTAGGAATAGTGCTTCCTCAAGATCCAGCTACGCCACTCCTAGGCATAAATCCAAAAGATGCTCAAGTACATGACAAGGACATTTGTTCAACCATGTTCGTAGCAGCTTTATTTGTAATAGCCAAAATCTGGAAACAACCCAGATGTTCCTCAATGGAGGAATGGATACAGAAACTGTGGTACATTTACACAGTGGAATACTACTCAGCAATTAAAAACAAGGAAATCATGAAATTTGCAGGCAAATGGGGGGATCTAGAAAAGATCATCCTGAGTGAGGTATCCCAGAAGCAAAAAGACACACACAGAATATAATCACTCATAAGTGGGTACTAGACCTGTAAGGTCTGTACACCTAAAGAAGTTAAACAAGAAAGAGGACCCAGGTTAAGATGATCAATCCTCACTTAGAAAGACAAATGGGATAGACATTGGAAGTAGGAGAAAACAAGAAACAGTACAGGAGCCTACCATAGAAGACCTCTGAAAGACTCTACCTAGCAGTGTATCAAAGCAGATGCTGAGACTCATAACCAAACCTTGGGTAGAGTGCAGGGAATCATATTAAAGAAGGGAGAGTTTGTAGGACCTGGAGAGGACAGGAGCTCCACAAGGACCAAATATATCCAGGCACAGGGGTCTTTTCTGAGACTGATTCTCCAACCAAGGACCATGCATGGATATAACCTAGAACCTCTGCTTGGACATAGCCCATGGCAGCTCAGTATCCAAGCAGGTACCCTAGTAAGGGGAACAGGGGCTGTCTCTGACATGAATTCAGTGGTTGGCTCTTTGACTACTCCCTACCCCTGAGGAAGGAGCAGCCTTGCTAAGCCACAGAGGAGGACATTGCAGCCAGTCCTGATGAGACCTGATAAACTAGGGTCAGATGGAAGGGGAGGAGAACCTCCCCTATCAGTAGACTTAGAGAGGGGCAGGGAGGAGATGAGGGAGGAAGGGTGGGATTGGGAAGGAATGAGGGAGGGGGCTACATCTGGGATACAAAGTATATAAACTGTAATTAATATAAAAAATAAAAATTGAATTTAAAAAAAGCTGTTCTCCTCTATTGTTTTGATTATTGTTGTTACATTAGGACATGAAAAGGCTTTATGAGCTAGTTGGTAGGACGGGCTGAGGGAGAAGAAGGAAGAGAACATGATGTAATCCTATTTGACCAGAATCCCACATTTTCCCAAACTATGGTAAGAACCCCATTCATGTTATCCATCCCTGAGAAATACAGGGCTTTGGAAGCATTAAAATAAACCTTATTTTACATTATATGTTTTATAAGGAGCCTTTGCCTAATCCCTCTCTTGTTAAGCTCTCAGCATCTTCCCCAGACCCCTCTCTGCATAGGCTGCAGCTGAACCTGTCCAGTCTTGAATGTGCTGTCTTTTCCATCAGTGAATGCTCTGCTCATCACTTCTTATTTGTACCCGATTTCTGACTGTTATCACACACTTTTACACACTACCAAGAACACTGACTGCTTAAGGGCCAATGTCCCAAACCTTGGACACACAGGAGAGGTTTAAGGTCAATGTGTCATCCCTGATATCTCTCTCCATTTGCTGAGGATTAATCATTAATCCAGTGCCTACATAAAGATAGGACTCATCCTTGGAAGCAGACTGAACCGCCTTGAAGCCATGGCTAGCACTCTAAGTCCTAGCTCTATGGCCCCGACTGAGGAGCCTCCTGTACTGTCACAGCGCATTCAAAATGCTGCTGACATCTCCGTCATTGTCATCTACTTCCTAGTCGTGCTAGCTGTGGGGCTGTGGGTACGTGGAAACCATACGGGCTTTCGGGTGGGCTTGGGGTACAGTGTCATGGCGGGGGGGAAGAGGTGTGTCACAATAAATTGAGACAAGAGATTATTACTCATGTCATTGTCTTTCCGTGTGAGTCATATATATGCATATGGATATACATGTATATGAATATATACATATATATATATATACATATAATTATGTGATAGTGCCAAATAGGCTCATTTTTAAGGCAACATAATTATTTGAATAGGAGGACCAAGAACAGCAGGCTTACTCTGTTTGGATCTCCAGCACCTGACAAAATAGGAAAAAAAAAAAAACACATTACCTCATTTTCTTTGTTTCCATTTATTGTTCAAATTTCTAACTTGGTGAGTTGGTCACTTATATCATTTTGTTCTTTTCATTATTTTCAATATTTAAATCTGTGCTGCAGATTTTCACTCTACACATCACAGCACATCTCACATCATTTCCACAACTGACAGCAGGCAGCTGCTTTTTAAAATATTCTCAGTCCTTGACATCCACTGCAAATCAGTCCATGCAACAGTCTCCAGAGAGTGTGTCCCTCTGGAAGAGTGCTGAGAACCCACTTCCATGAGCATTCTGTCCAGTGTGACTAGAGGGCAGTGGTGCACCTGATGCTCTGTCACCCTTCACCCTCTCTTCAATTCCTTCCTCCTCAGGCAATGATGAAAAGCAACAGAGGCACTGTTGGAGGCTTCTTCCTGGCTGGTCGAGATGTAGCCTGGTGGCCGGTAAGTGGGCCAGAGATTTCTGGACAGAAATGGAGAGAGAGAGAGAGAGAGAGAGAGAGAGAGAGAGAGAGAGAGATGAACTACACACCTGCTCAGTCTACATGATGTTACTTGCGCATATGCTTTCAGGGATGCCTGTTTGCAATTGGATAGCCAATTGGTGTGCTTTTCCTTGGGGAAGACTACTCTAGATCTCAGCATTCCTTAGTTGCCTGTAGTTCTTCATCCTGGGTTGAGGCCCCATGAGATTTCTTTCTTCTACTTTAGCATATCTATTGGTGCTCTCCTTGTTCAGGTCATGTTTAGGCAACCATGGTGAGACTTCATAGGCATAGATTCTCTGACAATTCTAGGACACATTAACAGGAAACTCTGGCTCTTACAGTCTTTCCACCCCTTCTTCAGCAATGTTCCCTGAGCCTTAGGTGTAGGAGATGTGCTGCAGATGTGTCAGCTGGGTCTGGAATCCACAACTCTGCGTTTTGATCAGTTGTTGTTCTCTATAATGGAGAAGACCTTTCAACCTTTGAATCTTAAGAACAACAGACAGAACGGAGAGGAACATAAACGAAAAGAATGTCCTATGTGTAGGAGGTTGGCTAGGAAGTCCCTCACTCTGGCACATGAGGTTCTTAATGCTGATTTAAATTGCAAAAATCTGATAAGGGGACTAGCAGACAAGCTCATTTCAGAGACAACTGACAGAACCATCACAGTACCTTTAAGGAAGTGCTCAATAAGTTTGTCTGAGAAGCAAAATTGTAAGGACATGAGACTGTTTGCTATACAATATTCAATAACACCCTGCTATTGCAATACAGTCAATAGCAAAGCCAAGAAACATGATTATCTTCCAAAATATTACCACTCTTGTAGTTTTAAAACAATTTGTCCATTCAAAAGCCTTATGTAACATTCTCAAGTCTATTATGTTAAAGAGGAATTATACTTGTTCTAATCCAGTCACTTGGAAACTTAGCAGTTAAATGGCATCATAATTCATTAGACACTTATCTTTGTATAGAACATTCTTCTCAAACAATAAAGAATTTGCATTTTTTTCTAATCAGCTTATGGTACTTTCTCCAGAACAGAGCACCTATTAGGATACAAAGCAAGTATTTTAGTTAAGATTTCTACTGCTGTAATAATAATAATAAAAAAAAAAACTGAGGAAAACAGAGTTTGTTTGCCTTATATATCACAAATTACAGTCCTGTTGTTTTAACAAAGTCTCAGTTGTTCAATTTTACTAGTAAAGACTCAGGAACCAGGTTCTGGGGTGAAAGCTTGCTAGCTCAGAGAGGCAGAGAAAACATCCAGCTGACCTTCCTACTCAGCCAGTGTCCAAAGAGGAAAAAGGCTCCTTTTCCCATGCCATCTGAAAAACCCTCAAACTGAATGTCCCTCCCTTCTACTTCCTGTACATCTCTCTCTCCATCCTCCTGACTTCCTCTTACTTTCTACGGATTTTTCCTATGTTCACTTCCTGACAACTGGTTGCTTGCTTTGCCTCTTGACCTATGATTGATTTTAATTAATTCAAGAAAATAGCTCTTGGATTAAAGGTGTGTGCTAGGCTGAGCCACAGCACAACTAGAAACAGATTTTTCCAGTACACAACAAAATCTTGGGGGGGTCTCAGTGTAATCAAAAATTCTGCAACCTTTCCCCTTTTTTTCTAAATAAAAAAGGAAAGATTTTAACTCTAACTCAGTAAAACTATTTATATTAACGAAGCTATTGCTGCCAAGCTTTTCACTGTCTACCTTGTATTTGACAGTGTTAGGATTAAGTATTGTTGGGTTCAAAGTTCTATATAATGTTTGTACCAGTCTCCTATGAACTCAGTTACTTGAATGGCCTGAGCAGTTTGTAGTCCCAAACTGATCTTTGGGTGGTGTTTGTCAGCTTAGTGTCAATCTTGGTGCAGAGCCTGGCAGCAGGAGGAGCATGGCTCAGTTTTCCCAGTGGTTAGTGTTACCACAGTCCAGGTGGGGTCATCTTTGTAGGGCCCCATCACCCTGTTGGGGACCTCAAAGATTACTGTTAGGAGTGGTCATGGTTTGTTGTGGAGAATCTATACATTTTAAATATCATATGCAGCAGAACTCTTAAACATTTGAGGACCACAATCTGTTAAGTACATCCAAGGTATACAAGCTTTGTTCCTAGTTACCTGCTTCAGACTCAAACATGAAAACATGTACAGAAAACTGGATGAAACCTATTTCTAGAATTAAGTACTATTCTGTACGAATATTACCACCTCAGAAAGTGTATATATACCTAATAATCTTAGAGGTTTTGAGGTAATAGGTATACCTTAAGAAAAGTTTTGAAGAGTCAAATGCAAAAACAAAGATTGTAAGATAAGTGGCAATAGAGCTTTTTTGTTTGTTTGTTTGTTTGTTTGTTTGTTTGTTTCCCTTTGTCCCATTCCAGATAGCTCTTCTGATATGAGACAGAGATTTTAGATTTTCCTTTAATAGGCATGTGTGGGTTTAGAGGAGGAGAAAGCCATCCTCCAGCACTAAATCCAGCTTTCATTTTTCATTGAATTGGTACCACATAAAGACCATTTGCCACTTACGTCATGTAGGATAGAAGAGACAAGCATTTGGGCATCCCACATGGTGGGACCAGCCTCATGGTTGGAAGAAAAAAGGGAGTGCTCACCTGAGCTATCCTACCCTCAGTCTACATTGGGTAGCTGTTCAACAGAATGGGGCAAGATGGCGGCATGGGTGCCAGTGCTAATAAATTTAAATCACTCTCTTGCCTTCATGACTACATAAAAATTGATATCTTTGCTAAGTTTCACCACTTTCATTCATGCCATGATCAGATATCATTGCCATTTATCTGCTAGTAGTGGTTTTCTATTTTGATGACCACTTAGCTATACCATTGTACATACCCCATGAATTGTAGAAGATAAGAGATTTTCCTTTTGCTTTCATAGTTGTTTGTCTTATAGTCAATAGTGCTGCACTAATTTGTGATTCCTTCCTCAGTATTGGCCATTCCATCCCCAGGCCTATAGGCTGTTCTTTTCCATTAGTTTTGGTTCCATTAGTGGTTAATGGACCATCAGTAAACCATTCATCAGCCATTTCATTGGTCCCCACAGTTCAATATGTGCCTCTTTTGGGGAAGGAGTAAATATGATATGTGATTTCTCTAGTGTGCAGGCATACCTACTGGGAGCTGTATCTGAGGGTTTGTCCCTGGGTAGTGGGAAAATTAAATGTGTGCATCACCACTACCTTGTTCACTGTAACTCTAGAATTTAGAAAACAACTAACTTATATAGATTCATCTTTCTCTTCTGGGATTAAAGGCACGGGCTACCATTGCCTTGCCCAAACATTTTATCTTAGCTCCAAGTCACTCCCACTCTTTGCTAGGTTTTGCCATTTCCATTCATGCCATGACCAGATATCTTTGCCATTTATCTATCAGTTAGTTGTTCTAAATCTTGGAGATTTAGAAAAGAAGTTTGAACTTTAGTACCCTTTAAGTTTACCTAAAACATTTAAAATCTCTTCATCATGTTTTTAATACCAAATGACAAACAAACAAACAAACAAAACAAACCACCTTTTTATTTAAGAATAAAACTCAAAAGCTGATGTCCAAGTTGGCATGGGCCAAGTGGCCATCTATAGACTAACATTCTAGCATGGAATTAAGTTGTTTAAGAAAACTTATTTTTCACTTCAGGTCAGTAAGGCAAGTGTGCCTTTGGTAAATTACTTGAAAAAAATTTTTTTTTAATTTTTTTCACATCTGATCAAATGAAAGGCATTTCTTAGTCTTTATAAGTTAGTTTGGACGGAATGACCAAACCGTCTGATTAACTATCACCTGTCTTTATTCAGGAGGTCTCTCCTGTTCAAATATTCATCAATTTTCATGACATCTACAGCTTTTCTTCTGTGGAAACAAAGGCAAAATTTCTTCCCCAATATAACACATATCTCAGTTTCCATTCTGAGGTCAAGACATGTTTAAAATATACAGACTGATTTAATTCAGCAGTTTTTCTACTATCCAATGTCTCTCTGCAGTTTATTTCTTTCTCATTAGTATTTAAAACTTTAAAGTTAGTAAAGCACTATATAATCTGTCTGTTGATGGTAATTAATATTTATTATTGATTTATGTTTTGATTAAATAGTGGTTATTCCTAAACCAACTGTATACCCAAATCACCATACAGAGACTAGGATGTATTTAGCTAACCTAGAGCATGAAGCTGGGCAATGATTTTCCATCCTAACCCTCCAAGCCTGCATAGCTTCCTCTCATTCAGATTTCCCACATTATATTTGCTTTTAGTCATTTCTTGGGTCCTGTTCATCTCTCCTTTAAAGTCCTTTCCTTCCAATCTCTCTTCCTGACTCCTCCCCTCTGAACCAGGATGTCCCATCCTATATTCTCCATTGCACAGCATTGGCTGGTTGTTTTATTGAAATTACAGAGAACAAATGGTGGCATATTTACATAAACCTGAGACAGGTGATGATTAGAATAAGCATCACAATGCAATGTCCAGATTGAAACCAGATAGTGGGGTAGAGAAATCAGCATTTGAATGGTAAACTATATACATTGCACAAGAACATTATACCAACATCTCTATCTCTGGGGGTCTTCATTTCTCCTTTCCCCTTATTAAGCATATCTCTTAAAGTGCAATTAGATATTTATATAACTACTCATCCTTTGAGATTGAATGGTATACCTGTGCTATGCTTTATATTGTAACATACAAAACACTGTTTCATTTTACTAGAGACATATGCTGGAGCATTGTCAGTCTTAATTTGTACAAGTATCCCCATAATAGCCATCACTTCTAATTTATGTGTAATTACAGTATCGGCTTTTCAGAATGTAAAGCAGCTGCCCATTAAAATTCTAAATATATATCGGTATATATAAAGTATGATGCACATACTTTAATTTTCCAAATTCTGAAAAATGAAACACAT